CGGGCGTGGAGAAGGGAAAAGGGCGTAGTAAGTCATACGGAGAGGCTCGTACGTCATCCTCCATCCGGGCCAACGGAGTAACACATGGAAAGGGTCTGTGGATTCTCCATGCACGATGAACGCACCTACCTACTTGGGTTGCCTCTTTAGGTCGCGGTGCGGTGGTGTTCGCGCACTCACACACGCGCGCACGTACATACTTCGACTCACTCGCACACCTCTATAGGTAGATAGTAGAGGCTGAACCACTTGGTCACGGGCGTGCAACACGCACGCCTATATTCGACGCAACTCTGCCACGATCCAATCTTTTCAATTTTCCGATTGTAAATTGGCGCCTTAAATGGTTCGTAAAAACGTACTCGGAATTGCGCAGAGGAAACACACAACCAGACACAGGGATCGGGCATCAAGATAGAAAATACACACGGCCATGTTCGTCAGCCATTGAGGTATACCTACAAAGAGGCGAAGTACACCTTCGGGTCCGTGTATTCGCTGTGCAACTGATCGATAAATATTCTTCGAGGTTTTATGGATACGAAATCAATGAAAATAGCGAACAACAAAAAGAAACAACGACGGAAATTGTAAAAGAAAGTGAGTAAAATGTACGATATACGAATCAAGTTCCGTTGACGGTTGTCGGTAATTAGAAGCTCGCGTGAAAAGAATCGGTAAAAAAAATGGCGAGCCATAAATGATTTGTACAATGAACTTGCCCGTGTTCTGTTCCAGAGAAACATTTCTACCACACACGAAGGAGGGACGCGGAACGATCTTGGTCGATACACACAAAGATATGTGCTCTGTATTACCGACGAGCCCTCGCAGCGACGATAGCGGTAAGCGTGGAGGCACATAAGGAGGAGGGGTAAACGAGCCGAGCCACGATTTCGTCGTCGTAAACGTCAACGTTACGGTTACAGCGTTGTTCCTAGCTGGTTTATATTGAACGAGGTTGCTCCCCGAGGTACGTAACACCTACTGGCAACCGTCGTATCGTGGAGTAGCACCATACTCGTTTCCAACTCGAGAGAGTGGCGGGAGAGACCACGTGGCTTTTACGCGGGAACCGCCGGCCGCCACGGTACAAGAGTTCAAGGTTTGTTGGCTCTATTCTTTCATACACAGCACCGGGGCTAGACGAACCGCCCAATAAAGATCGCCATAACGATGCGATATCGACATACGTAAATCAAAAAAGGAATAAGAAAATATGCCTGGATCGTTAAGATTCCAACACGTACTTCGCATTTTTCTGATCAATTTAGGAAGTTTGCTCGGTCGCAGAGAAAGCATTGACCAGATAATAGTCGTGAATTATTGAACGATTCTTTTCATTACACATTCACGATTAACTATTGTGCGTGAAACATTGACTGTTTTGCAACATTATAATATAAAGGAACATTGACTGT